AAAAAAAAGAAAAAGAAAGACATATTAATCGAACCAAAGGAGAAACGTGTGACATAACAGAGGCCGAAGTTGGGAAGATTTTACGAAAAAAAAAAAAAATAAATATAATAGATAAATACAATTTATGTAACTGACCATAATATGATAACTGTGTATGTTACAGTTCTAATAGAAAACATCGCGTTAATTCAACGAATTATTTATTACCAATTTTAATCATTGTTATCTATGAAAAATTATAGTTATACTGAAAATTCGAAATAATTACCCTTTTATGTTATAAATGTTATAACTATATTAATGTTATAATTATAATTCTATAAATTCGTAAATAATTAAAAAAAAAAAAAAAAAAAAAAAAAAAAAAACCTATCGCGTCTCGGAAACATAAAGAAATACACTTAATGTAGACATTGTGAACCACGTGTCTCAATATTATAATATTAATCATAAGAACTTTCTATAATTAAGTACAAATGAAACGACAATAATCAATATATATATATATATATATATATATAACAATAATGAAATTAAAAAATAGAAGCACGTATAGAAATCGCAAATTATTAATAAAATTTGTTATTATGGATCGATATGGTAGAATTAAATAAATTAATTGAATTTATTAATTAATTAATTAAATGAAGTTACTTAAGTAACGGTAGAGTTGTCAATTTCGAAGAAACTAGTTTCATAAAATATATATATATATATATATATATATATATACTTGGACTACATAAAATTCAATTTAACGTAAACGTATTAAACAAAATTTAACTCGTACCGACATCTGTACTTTCTTTTCATTTTCTTGCCAACTGAAACATATTCTTATGTTTAATAAAAAAAAAAAAAAAAAAAAAAAAAAATTTTTTTTTTAAAATGTTTGATTTTAATCACTTTGTAATGCAAGTCATATTCATAGCATTAAAAAATGGCCACTCTTAGATAAAGTCAACAAATAACAATTTTTAAATGCTAGATAAAAAATAAATAATTACGTTATTTTCAAATGTGATAACAGCTATGTTAAATATATCTTTACCAATAACCTCCACATGAAATATATATATATTTGAATATGTTCGATGTACTCGTTACATAATAACAATATAAGCATTTTGTTGATAAGCTTTTATTCTAAAGGAAATTTAATGTTCAAACATTCGGTAATAATAAACGTTAACTATCTTTTACAGCTACAATCTTCGATATCTCATTAACAAAAGTACATATTATGTTTTTACATTAAATAGATGCAGTATATCTTTTTTTACCGAATGTACTAACTACAAAAAATATTTTTGTAAAAAATGCTCTATAATTGGAATAATAGGGCAATGTTTTTTTTTTTTTTTTTTTTTTTTTTTTTTTTTTTTTAATGTCTTTGCTATCGTATAGATAGACGCTATAGTATATAAGAATTTTATCGTCAATGTATAATTTGTTTTTCTATTGTTGTCATTTTCATTTTATGTACGTACATCTTATTGGTAAAAAAAAATTTTTATGAAATATATATTGGATGAAAAGTAAGTTAACGACAACTTGCAAGCATTTGCCGTTTCATGCAAAGAATACACTTGCCCTGAAAAAAAAAATGCATGCATATAGAAAACTTTCTATTCAAGTCCGTGTAATCACTTATTTTCAATAATTATAATACGCAACCATTTTTCCATCATTTAATAATCCAATAAATTTAACGTTAACTATTATTTTATAACGATGATTTGAAGCTTCTGATAACCATATGATAATTATCATTAAATTTTTATTATTTATAAGTAAAAAGCCTTTTTTTTAATATATATATTATTAATATTTCAATAAATTATTACATAAATTTCAAAGAGAATATTGATATCTATATATATGTGTGTGTTGCATTTAAAAGACATTAAAAAAAAAAAATAAAATAAAAAAAAAATGATAGATTTATGTTTTCTTTTGGTAGGTGATAAAATGTGATTATGAGTATTTAAATTTGCATTGTAAACGAATGTTGCAAGTTAAGATGCAATTAATGGACTCTGCAATTTAAAGCCGAAGATTTTATTTGGTGTACGTAAATCTCAATATAAGCTCTATTTAATTTACAATGATGAAAATTCAATTATGTTTTACATAACATTACGGCGCAATTACAGTAAAAATTGTGTTCCTGTTCGATTTACAGCAGTTAATCTCACAGGTTGCGATTTGTTCGTATGCACTAAATGTGGAAAAAATTATTGTACCTTTATGAATATTTATTGTTGAATTTGGAAAAATCGTTGGAGAGAAACCATAAAAGTAAATGAGAGAGAATATTTTTAGTATTATGGGCTTATAACATAAATATGAAACAAATATAATAATAAGATATTTTATTTGTCGGGTGAAATTCAATTCTAGTTCATGTCTATCTGTCTTCGTGTCACATTCGTATTCTAATGATATTTGTTATGATCCTTATTAGAATGGTGATTTCATAATATCGGTATATCAAATACGTCTCATACATCGTCAAATAGATTATCTAATTTTTTTTTTTAAATAAGATATTAAAAAAAAAAAAAAAAAAAAAAGGATATACATATAAATATCTGAATCTTTTGTCGTACTTGGATATTTAGACAATTTTATCACAAAAGCCCATAAAACGTAGGTTACTTATAATAATTGTATGTACAATGTGAAACAGACAATCATTCTGGGAATTTTGAAACTATCAGTCATAATTAATTTGCATTTAAAATAATAATTACAATAAGAGACAATTTTGAAAATGTAAAGGAAAATTGATATCAGTATACAAATTATATATTATATAAATAAATTAATTTGTTTAAATCACATTTATTTTATCGTTTAAAGATAATATTTACAGAAATTTAAGAATTTACGGATGTAAATTTAATTTCTCATACATGCAATATTATTTGATAATTTATAATAATTTATAATAAAATTTATAATAAAATATCTTATTTATAATTTAATTTTGATATTGTGATATTCGTTGTATATGTTATTAATATTCGTAAAGGAATTTCAAGGAATATTTCAATTTACGCGAACAATCCATGATAATGTAGATTAATTTTCTATTAGTTTGTTAATGATTATTATTTTATTGTTATTGGGCGCTGAATTGTATTTATTTCATAATTGTCTTGAAATTTATATAATATATACTAGGATATAAGATATAAATCTATACTTATATATATATATATATATATATATATATATATATATATACTATAAGATATAAATATAAGAAATACTTAGATAATGTACGATGTCGAGTATTATGTTTCAATTAAAACTTATGGGATTTCCATTGATTTACACTAAAGATTTCTGTCTTAATTCTTATCTAAATAGCGTTAAAAATAGATGACATTGAGAAATCGAAAACTTTCTAAGAATACCTTAGTAATAATTCAAAATTCTAATTTCCTAATGTTTCAATAAACTGCATTACAGTAAGTTTTCATGTAAAATGAAATATAAAATTTAATATGGGCTCATAAGTACAAAAACCTACTGACATAAATACAAGAGATTGTACTTTTGAAACGAAAACAGGCTTCCTTCCTGACCTAGAATACATACTCTCGTTACTTATGCATATTTATTTTTTAACGGATGCGGCAATTGTAATATAAATTTTGATTGACAAGGTACATTGGGTGAAGAAAAAAAAAGTATTATAAATTTTTATAAAATCATATCTTGTGATACACATTTTACTCATTGAAATATTAATGATTATTAAAATTTACATAGCTAAATTTTACATTGATAATCTAATTTTTGTATCATTTGATTCAGTAAAGAATGCAATCTATACATTTTATATATCGCTTCTACCAATCGTACATCGAATTTCCGTGGATGAAAATTAAGAAACAAATTTATGAGAATCTTCTGTATTATTTATCATTTGGGAATCATTTCTCAAATACACGATAAAAAGAAATGATTGTTCTGAAAAATTGATTGATCAAAAAAAAAAAAAAAAACAATAATACTGTAAATCAAATTGTTTGGGAGAATATTTGTAATTTTATTAAAATACTTTTTAGCTCCAATGTTCATACTGATTAATCATTTCAATTTCAATTTTAATTCTTGCACGATTGATATATATATATATATATATATATATATATATATATATATATATATATATATATATATATATATAGACACATTATTTATGCTCACAATACGCCAAACAACGCAGAATTTAACAAAATATTTATTTAACGATTCAATCACACATTTACAACAATAACACACAATGAATAATAAATTTCAATTGACACTGTGAAATTGAATTTTGAATGATCTTGGATCGTCGATTTATTTTTCCCTTAATGCTGCCATTGAGCGTCCGATGAGGAAAATGATCTAGATACCGTTAATACATGCTACGTATATGAAAATGATCTATTAATCAAGATGCTTTTTATTACGATCGAATAGTTTAAAGTATAGTTATGATTTAATATGCGAATTCGCGGAAGGCAAACCTTGCTGTTAGTTAATTGTTTACCGCGACTGCTTTCTCGTTACAATATCGTAGTGTTAGAATGCGTGATTGCCTATTAGTGTGCGCATAACAATGTGCACATTGTGTAGGTGAGTGCAATATAGTGGTAGTGCAAGCAACAGCCTCCCCTCGACGACGGTGGTGTCTTGAAAATCGTTGGTAAGCCAATGATATACCGTCGTCAGCTATGAGTGGTTAGTAATTCGATAGGATTTAAAGGCTCGGGGAGGGGAAGGGTGTAGTTTAATGGAGGAGCGCGTGCATGAGAAATCGGGTTCCTTCGTGGCCGGTCGAGCTTTCGCGAACTGCCGGCAGCGGAGGATCCGTTAAACGGTAAACGGTACAGGTACGAAGGGCGTGGGCATGGGAGTTGGCTAGGAGATTGAGAGAAAGACGGGGAGAGACTGAGAATAATGAAGGCTGGGGGATTTGAGCGCATCGGCCTCACCTTTGCTCGGGCTCGGCGCTGCCCCCGATGTTGATCGTGCAGTCGTAATTGGCGAGGGTTTTGGACACCGTCTGGGCCGCCTCGAGCAATTGGGGTATCGTGATGATGCACCTGACCTTGGCGCTCTGGAACTGACGTGTGAGCTCCGGCACCGTGTACAGGGGGTTGGCGAAGGTGACGATGAGGCCTGCTTGGAGGGCCGCGTGAACCGCGACCATGTATTCCGGCACATTGGGAAGCAGCAGGCCGATCCGGTCGCCCGGCTTAAGGCCCGTGTTGGCAAGGAAAGCCTGGGCCCCAACCTTGCACAAGTTCTCGCTCGCTCCAAAGGTGTACGACCTGCCCGATATGCCGCATGTCTGACCGAGCCCCCAACAACGTCAACATTTTTTTATTTTGAGATTTTAGTGTG